TGACTTTATTTAGTGGCGAGTCACGTCCGCCAATCCACAGTGTTGTTAAACGGATATTTGTGGCTTTATATAGGGAGAACGCTTGCCAGGCGATAACCTGCCACGTCCTGGAACACTGCCGTCGAATCATTTGCTGGAACGGGAAAATTCCGTACGACCCAGCTGACATCAGGAGGAGTTTATTCGGCAAGCCAGCCGAAAGTGCCCTAGCACAGTTACATGAGTGGCAAGAGACTTTATCCGAGCTTCAGCTCTCGTCGACATACCGGAAGACTCTTATGAATAAATTATTTATACGCCTTCATAATGTTCGAATGATGAGCTCGTACAAGAGACAATGTCACGTAGATTGTTCAGCCGCTCTCCGGTACGTATTCAATTTAGGTAGCAGAAATGAGCTGTCATTTATCTTAGGATTGGTCACAAGACCTTTAACACAGGATCAGGCAAGTTCTTGTAGTAAATAGTGGTGAATCATCAACCTAACAGGGACCTCTGCGCTTCAAGCTAATGCGTTGACTATTCTCAACCTATGACAGGTCTGGCCTACGAAACAGAACAAGTTTAGTTATGTTTACGAGGAATTCAGTGACCTGCAATTACGTAAAGATCCTGTGCCCTGTAACTACAATGAATATTAATACACCACAGTATTTTCTAAACGGATATTAACGTTATGTTTATTATATAAAATAAGTAATTCTTCCAGAAAAGCCACTTTAGTCCACCAAGTGTAGTTAATAATATCTGCAAGTGCATTTGTAGTCAATATATGGCCACATACTCTTACCCTACACATTTCCTTTCCATCTTAGTTCAGACCAACCACTGCGTTTTTGCAGCATTGCAATTAGAGCTGTGAGCCATTGTCAGTGACCATTGTCTCAGGACAGCCGAATCTGATAAAGGCTTGGCGCAGTTTCGATATGGTGGCATTTGTGGTTGTGTTATCCATGAGAAATACTTCTGGCCACTTGCTGCATGAGTCGACTATAATGAGGGAACTTCTCCAGTTGATCGGCCCTGCTAAGTCGATATGTATGCGACACCACGGCTTAGTAACTGTTGGCCATGAACAGAGTTCTGCTTTCGGTGGCGCTTTCAAGACATCGGCACACTTTTGGCAGCGTCTGGCTATTTCTTCTAACTGTTTGTCCAGGAAGGGCCAGTTTACAAAACTGCGGGCAAGCGCCTTCATCCGGTTGATTCCAGGATGCCCGGCGTGGAACTGTCGAATAAGGTGCTCCTAAAGTGCCTTGGGGATGATCACTCTTTCCGAAAATAGTATGCAATCGTTTACAATAGAGAGTGAGTGTCTCCTCTGAAATTACTGTTGCAACTCGGCAGATGGACATGAACGTGGCCAACTTGTTTTGTGAAACTGTGTAACCTTCTTGAGTATTGGGTCCCGAAGTGTTTCGGTCCGTACAGCTTCTGCGGTAACTGGTAGACAGTGCAGTGCATCAGTTACCAGAAAGTTGACGTCTGGTTCAATCTCCACCGAGGCAATGATTGTGTCTTCATGTTCTTGCTGACGGGTATCAATTAGGCGTGACAGTGCATCTGCTTGGCCAATGGAAACTGTCGACTGATATTGGATCTCGAAATCATACCCCATTAAGGTAAGGGCCCAACGTTGTAGCCGGTTGGCTGTGTAGGCCGGGATGCCCTTTTTCGAACCAAAGATAGCGAGCAAGGGCTTGTGATCTGTCAGAAGCTTGAAGCGGCGGCCGTATAGCATTTTGTGGAATTTCTTAACCGCGTACACTATGGCCAATGCTTCTTTCTCGATCTGGCTGTAGTTCTTCTCGGCCTTCGTAAGTGTTCTGGCGGCATGGGCGATTGCTTTCTGAGATCCATCGGTGTACGTGTGTGCAATTACTGCACCAATCCCATGGCTTGATGCATCTGTGGTTAGGACGATCTCTTTGGAGGGATCGAAATGTGTCAAAAGCAAGTTTGAAGACAGCAGTGACTTGACGCGTTCGAAGGCATTCTGGCATTCTGATGTCCAGTTCCAAGGTTGTCCTTTGGCTAGTAGCTTGTTTAACGGGGCACGCAAGCGGTGCATCTCAGGCAAGAATGCGCTGTAGTGGCTGATGAGCCCACAAAAGGAACGCAAGGACTGTAGATCTGTGGGTGGAGGCATTTTTCTAATGGCTTCGATGTTTTCCGGGTCTGGTCGACGTCCATCCTTCTCGAGGATAAAACCGAGGTATTTGATGAGCGGCGTGAAAAATGTGCATTTATCCTCACGGATCCGGAAACCGTACGACTGTATGCAACCAAGCACTTCATCCAAGCGGTTGAAGAGTTCTTCCGGTGTTCGACCCATCACTATGATATCGTCCAGATATGCAGCGGTTCCAGAAACTCCCGCTAGCATGGTGTCCATCAACTGTTGGAAGATGGCTGGCGCCGTTTTCACACCAAATGGCAAGCGGTTGTATTGGAATAGCCCACGATGAGTGTTGATCGTCAACAACTCCCTCGAGACTTCGTCAACATCCACTTGCAGATAAGCATCGGATAGATCAAGCTTAGCAAAGTACTTACCACCATTCAACTTTGCAAAGATATCCTCCGGTACAGGTAATGGGTACTGGTGGTCGTCCAGCGCGGCGTTGAGGCCAGTTGAAAAGTCAGCGCAGACGCGTACCTTGCCATTTGCTTTCTTCACTGCGACAATAGGTGCGGCCCATGATGAGTAGTTGACGGCTGTGATGACTCCGGCACGTTCCAGTCGATCGAGCTCTTGCTCAACGGTTGACATGGCTGCATATGGTACCGGTCTTTTAGCCTTGAACACTGGTTTAGCACCTGGTCGCAAGTTCAGTGTTGCCTTGAATTTCGTACAGTGGCCCAAGCCATCCTGAAAGACAGAAGCAAATTTTCGCTTCAGGGTACGTGTCATGTCTTCGACGGACTTTGCAGATGGGTCTGGACTTGCTCGAACTCGGTTGCAGATCTGATTCAAGGGAACATCGAGGAGGTTCAACTTTTCAATCCAGTCGAGGCCAAGAAGATTCAAATTCGGCCGGTCCGAAATGTAGCATGTTCCCGACTTCTCCACACCTTGGAAAGCAATCTTGCAATTGAGTTCGCCCACTAAGTTTAACACACCGCCGGATGCATTATGTGCAACTTTCTGAGACTCGACCATCTTCGGCCTCTTTATGTGATTCCATGTGCTCCTGGAAATAATCGTGATGTCTGAGGCCGTGTCAAATTGCAGTTTCGTTGGGATCCCATTGATTAACACAGTGATGAATCGTCGTCTCGGTTTACATTCGCTTTGGAATGCGGCAACTATGGACAGAGACTCAGCGCCGTCCCTTCTAGAATTAACCTTTCGATAAGACTTCTGCACTTTCTTCGACCGGACTTGACTGCAGCATTCCTCTTTATGCCCACGCTTATGACACGTTTGACAAATATGATGTTTGAAGGGACAAAAGCGAGCGAAATGCCATTCGCCGCATGACCAGCATGCTGTGGGCGGTTTCTTCGTAGGCCTCTTGAAGGGTTTGCTTGCGTTGGCGGTCCTGGTCTTTTTCACGAGTTGCACGGTATCTGCTGGTGCGAGACCATTTCGTTCGACCATGGCAGTGTCGTGTTTTAGAGTGAGAAGCCGTTTGCATTCGCTTACGAGGGCCTTCAGTGTCAGATCAGGATCCTGCTCCAGCTTAGCTAAAAGCCGCGTTCGGATCTCAGCATCACTGGGCGATTGTAGAGCACTGACGAAAATGAGACACTTAAACTGATCGTCCGTTAAAGAGCGTAGTTTGAAACGTTCACACTCACGGTTAATCATGTCTGCTAAGGCCCCAAAGTCGTCAGATTCCTGTTTGACAATTTTCAGGCATTGATAGCGAATACTAAACAAAGATACCGACTCACCAAAAATTTCCTTCAGTTGCGACACTGCTTCGTCAAAAGTCAGATCCTTCGGCTGTTTGGGCAAAATGTGGTCTATGAACCTTGAATGTTCACTTATTCCGAGCTTGCGGAGTAGCAATCGCACCTTCCAGGAGTCGTCCTGACGAATGAAGTCCGTCTGGAACATGTCTTCCCAGCGCTTGAACCACGCTTCAAAGGTGCATCCAGAATCCGCGTCATAATTGAATTCAGTGATCGCGTTCGTGAGAAGATCAACAGAACTCGCCTGCATGTCCCGTGTCGCTGCTCCTGTTGTCTGCAAACTCAAGCATTGTGTCAGATTTTCAATCATTTTCATTTGCGCCTCCATTTGAGCTTGCTGTTGAAAAAGCAGCTTTTGAAATTGTTCAGCAGAAAAATTCATCACATTTCCACTTTTCTCCGTCGCCATTTGTTATAATCTTCTCACTAGACGCAATTCCAAAAATAACAATTTACTGCTCCACAAAACTCCTAGCCCAACCGAAGGAAAAAAGCAAAACGCCAATGACCTTGACAAAAGAACGTATTAATCGCCGCCAACGAACACTGTACAACGACTGCGGACCTTGGCTGTATTTATAGGTCTCTACTGACCTTCGACTTCTAGAATTGGAAGGTCAGCTGCCAAGGTTAGTGGTTCCCCATATCTTTTGCCGAGGTGTCAGGTGGATTTTGATCACGTGCAGAAGAAGAACATTCAGGAACGTTCGAAATCGATGCGATAATCGTTAATAATCGATTAATCGCTAAAATAGGGAATTTCCAAGGCAATTCTTACTTTCTCCCGGACAGAGCTAGTACTTAGCTACACTGAACGGTAGCGTTTGTGGATTCTGAAATTATAATTCCTCTTCAGCCATAGGAAGAATGCAAATTACATGATTATTTATTTTTCCGTTTATTGCAGTCCCCACTCGTGTGTTAACTAGCGCACACAGGGAAGAATATGCTGCAATACAAGCAATTTACTCATTAGTTTACCTGTTGTAAATAACTGCTTTTCATCCTATTCAGTCTGCTCATGTTCACTTTTGTGTTACGACTGTTTGAATAGAAATTACTACGGTTTATTGTTTTAGGTGCAACCTACCCCAAACTTAAACAGTGATGTCAAAAGTGGTCGTTCGATATCCACAACATATTTGACACGAAAGTGAGTACAATCGTTTTTAGAGCAGCAAACGTTTGTTTAAGTAGCGCATTGCTTTTTGAATGCTTTCTTAGCAAGAGGGTGATTAGTCGTTCTAGCGGTGCACTGAGCATGATATATCGCACATACGTATAAACCATGTAACAAGTCCGATAATTAGAATGGTAATTATAAGATGTGTATATTTGGCTGGTTACATGAAATAACACACCAAAAACGGATCGCTTTTTATCCAGTTGTTAGAATGTTCTGTGCCACAAACCATCGTTGGAGGTAATTCTGAGGCGCCACATCACTGTCATTGAATTAGCAATCATCTGACATCGACAGACGCATAATAAGTTGCACGCATGCAAAATATCACAGTAACATTTACGCGAACATGCAGAAAATAACTCGGATGATACAGAGTATAAGTATGTGCGTCTTCGGGAGCAAAAATCAATTTGCTCATCGTCATCTGCTCAGTATCGGTACCAGCAGCTGCTCGATTCACACGGCTACAGACACTTAACCATCGACAAGGAAAATTCTTTCACCCTCTTGTTATCTTCAAATGAGTAGATATACCAAGCACAATTCGTCTGTATTCAGTGAACTCATGAGCCAATGGCGAACTTCAGCAACTTCCTAACCTGAATGTTCCATCCCGTCAGCAGGCTGGCTGCCTAATGCCGATGAAACACGCTCTCCGTAATCTAAAACGAAACATCTATTTTTAATAGGAATAGTATTGTCTTGATGCAACTTCGTGTATGCACAGTTTACAGGTGACAGGAACACTTATCATAGGTGACAATACACACAGCTCGATTGCCGTATAGCATGAGCGCCACGCGTTTTCTCTGACGGCTGGAGGGCACCTCCGGGTGCTCAATGGCTTGCTACTGCCCGCCTCAAGCCAGGCAAACCTTGGTCAAATTGGTGTCAACCTACAAAAACACAACTGCATCTGGCGGTGGTCGCACGTCTGTATCCTACTACCGTTGCAAAACAATTATGAATCGTTCCAGTATCTCAAAGGCTGCGTGTGACGGCCGACAAGCAAATCCAATCTGTCCCTGTCATCACATTCCCGAGCTGGATCTACTCTGCACCTCTTTGTGGGGCACGCTATTGAGTCAAAATACGCGGGCAGGACCGCCCAAGCAAATCTCCGAAGCACAACCGCCACCTCGAGTGCGATTGCCACCAAAGCAATCGTTTGCCTGCGCGTAAACCACTCAGCATCGGGTGCTGGAACGTGCGCACACTATTGGACCGGAACTCCAGTGAACGTCCGGGCGACGCACTGCACTCGTCGTGATGGAACTGACGCGCAATAAGTTCGATATTACGGCACTCACTGAAACCCGATTCGTTGAGCGAGTTGAGTTGCATGAAGCAGGTAATGGCTACACCTTCTACTATGTAGGCAAACCACTTCAGCACCACGTGAACATGAGGTCAGATTTACAATATCCGATCGTCTCCATCGCCAACTCGTAGGGGAACCAAGAGACATCAGAGCGTAACTGATGACTGTTCGTCTGCGATTTGGAAGAGACAATTTTGCCACTTGTATAAGCATGTACGGCCCGACCATGTGTTATCCTGATGAGACGCAAGATCAATCCTACACTCAGCTATCCTCCATGATAAGCTCTTTGCCAAGGAGCAACCGACTATTTCTGCTAAGTGATTAAATCGCGCATTGGGCGTAATGCAGCGGTGTTGACAGATGGTATTGGTCCGCATGGCATTGGTTCAGCGAATACGAACGGTAACAGGCTGGTCTCATTCTGTGGCACTCACGGCCTGACGATCACTAACACTCGGTTCGCACTGAGTGAGAGAGATATAGCAATTTGGACGCGTTCAACGACTGGTCACGATCACCTGTTTGACTACATCATCGTACGTCAGCGTGATATGCGTGAAGTGCGCATGACACGTGTACTGCGTGGAGCTGAGTGCGGTACTAATCACAAATTGGTGCGGACCAAACTGTACATAATTTTGTAAATCTATGTATTGCACTCACGATGTGAACCGGCGTAAATTTAGCACTCTATCCCTCGGTACTGTGGCGAAACGTATTGAGTTGAAGAAGATGAAGACTTCACGCCTGTGTGATGTGGAATGCATAGCCTCAGTGGGCGACCTGTGGCACCACATTCCCGACCAGGCGACAGCTGCTGCCGAGGAGACCATCGGGCGCGCAAACTGTTAGCAGCCTGATTGGTTTGATGAGAACAATGCGACGATTGGCGCATTGGTGTCACAGTGGAATGCAGCATTTGCTGCACATGTGGTAGACCCCAGTAACTTGGAGAAGAAGATTAAGTTTGTCAGCATTCTACGATGACTGCCTCGAGAGCCCCGTCGCGTTAAAAATGCATGGTGGACGGAGAAGGCGAAGCAGATTGAATGCGACGCCGAACGTCGCCAACACAAGGAATTGTTTGACTCGATGAAAGCAGTGTATGGACCGAGATTGGAGCCGCTGAGCACGCTGATCGATGCTAGTTCAGGCACTACCTGCACACAGACTGCAGACATAATGCAGATCTGACGGAAACACGTTGACTGTCTCTTGCACAACCGCTCAGCGATCGACTGGCCTACATTGAACGGCCTCAAGCAGCACGATATGAAGGAGAGTCTGGCGGAGACGCAGATACTGGATGAGACGCAGAGAGCATTTGCTCCGCTGCGAAACGGCAAGTGTGCCGGTGCCAACGGGATCCCGTCTGAAGTATTGAAACACGGCGGATCTGCGTTGGTGACTGCGCTGCACCACTTGGTGCAACGCATGTGTGGATTGAAGAGGATGTGCCTCCTGAACTGGAGGATGCACTTGTACTACCAATGTACAAGAGCAAAGGGAGCAAGCAATGTTGCACGAATTATCGTGGCATCAACTTGATGAGTTGTGCGGGCAAGTTGATTGTCCTAATCCTGCTGAACGGCCTCCTACATCAGGTTGTGGAGGTTAACGTGACGGAAGAGCAGTGTGTATTCCGTACGGATCGCGGCATTATAGATTTGTTGTTTGGGGCTCGTCAGTAGCAGGAGAAGTCTAGAGAACGACACCAGCCGTTGTACTCGCATTTTGTATCTGTCACCAAGGCTTTTGATACGGTGAACCGCGAGGCATTGTGGCTAGTGTTGGGTAACTTTGGTTGCTCGCGTAGGTTTGTAAGTTTAATTGAATGTCTGTACAGTGGCATGCAGGCGAGGGTGCAGCTGAATGGACACACCTCGGATGACTTTGCAGTTGTCACTGGTGTGAAGCAAAGCTGTGTCTCAGCTCCTGCCCTGTTTACCATTTATCTGCATACAAAGATGTCCTGTGCTTTTGATGCTGCTTGTGTGTACGGTGTTCGGATGGAGCACCCTATTGTTGGTGGGTTGCTGAATCGTCGTTTCGTTGCGAGAACCCTAGGCTGTGAGACAACTATCCGTATTTTGCTGTTTGCTGACGACTGTGCGTTGACTTAAAAACAGCGCGGATGAGTTGCAGCACATGATTAGTGATCTGGTTTCTACAGCGGACAAATTCGGGTTCACCAACAACACAAGCAAAACTGTTGGTCTCATTCAAATTTCACAGTAAGTGCACTCTTCAATATTGCCGCGAAGTATTGGAGATCACCTCCCGCTTCTGCCACCTTGGGAGTGTGTTGTCGCTTTACCAGTTGCTTCACAGTGAGCTTCATATTCGCGTATCGAAGACAGCGGCAGTATTCGGGAAGCTAGAGCACCGAGTGTGGAACAGCCATCAGCTTACCGTTGGCATGAATCTGATGGTGTATAAATCCATGGTGTTATCCGTTCTTCTATACGGCAGTGCAACGTGGAAGACCTACCGGCGAGACGTAAGATATCTTGAGCGATTCCATCAACAGTTCTTGTGACGGATTCTGCGCATCGGTTGGTACGACTGAGCTGAGGACACGGAAGTGTTGAGCTGAAGTGGAATGTATGCAGTGGACTGCATACTTTTGCTGAGACACTTGAGGTGGCTTGGTCATGTGAGCCGTATGGATTCGACGCGGATACCGAAACAACTATTACATAGTCAGTTGAGCATTGCGAAGCGGCATGTGGGGTACCAAAGCTTCGATACCAGAACATGATCAAAGTGAGTTTCTCACTTTCTGATCTTGATTGCAGGTCATGGGAATCGAAGGCGGTTGATCGGCGTGCATGGCTCGATCTGATCATAAAGGCAGTTGCCGAGATGCAGGGGAAAGACTTCATGCATGCGGAGAAGAATGGGCAAGCGTGGCAGCGGGAAGCGCCGATGGTTTGTAATCCATCGACATCTAGCGCATAATGCTGTAGCAGATTCGAGAGGGAGTGACTGAGTCAGGCAGGTCTAGTGAGCCATGAGCGAGACCACTTGAGGCCACCACCGAAACGGCGACGGGTCCTGCAGAAAACATAGGCAGAACCGGCTCAGTGTTTGTAGGTACGCTGCATTAGATTTACTAACCGCATGCTTGCATGCTGAGACTCTTTATTTCAGGTGGTGGGTTTGCAGGTTTGTTCTAATGCTTTTCTCTCTCACATTAAGCTCCACTTGAACTATCCTCTATAAACTTGCACAGGTCGCTTTATCCAATTGTAGTTAACTTCGATAACATTTTCGCTTTTGTGACATTTGCTTAGAGTATATATTCTGGTGCCATGAACTTAGTGCGGATATGGAAACATTATAGTGTTGCTCACCCCAACACTGGCACCCGAAGACCGCGGTTTCGTCCTGGTTGGGACTCATCAGTTCAGATAGCCTGAGTTGGGCCGGAACTCAGAGTCTAGTGGCTCATGGTTGACACCATAAGCACTATGCCACTGAGATCCACGAGCAACGCTTGGTCCAGCGAGAATGAATGCAAAGTTGGACTTGGAGGCTCCGCTGGTGGTTGGGTTGCTACAAGCAACCTCTATTGAGACCTCGGTTCACTTGAGGTGGACCTCGGTCATTCCGATCACAAAGACCGTAAGTAAAATGGAAA